ATCCGGGGACGCCGTCCTCCCTGCCGTCCCATGAATGAGACACTCCATCTCCAGACTCCAGGCATCTGCTCCGGCTCTTCCCCAGTGCCTGGAATGCTCTCTCATTGTTGCCCCAGCTTCCCTGACTTTCTACAGGAAGCCTTTCCCCATTGTTCTGTAATTATAACGCCTTCCCTCTGTCAATTATCTCCTATATATCCTATCCATACCTTGTTTGTACAATTGTTTGCATCTTACCTCCCACATCAGATTGTAAGCTCCCTGAGGTCAGAGAGTTCCTCTGCCTTTGGCTTTTCTGAGCACAGTGCTGGGCACACAGTAGGTGCTTGATAAATGTTTACTGACTGACTAACAAGGATGGCTATTTTTATACTACATATAATTAATAACAATAATGCTTTGAGGTTTACAAAGTACTTTCCATTTCTTATCTCATTTGACCTTCACAACCCTGTAGTATGAGGAAACTGAAGCAAACAGACATTAAGTGATTCTTCTAAGGTCACACAGCTAGTAAGTATTGGAAGCAGTATTGGCCTCAGATCCTCCTGACTCCAGGCCCATCACTCTATCTACCGTGCCACTTAAATGCCTTGCTGAAGGAATGAGAGGGCCCACCTGCGTAATGAGAGGCAATGAGATGGCAGGTGGTTAGACCATTCAAGCCAGAGTAAAGAAGACATGAGTTCAAATCTGCCCTCAGTGACTTACTAACTGTGAGACCCTGGGAAAATCACCTAATCTGTGTGCCTCAGTTTGTTTAGCTGTAAAATAGGAAGACTAGTGACAACTACCTTCCAGGGAAGTTTTATTAATAAAATGAGGCTCTGTGAGCCTTACAGCACAATGTGAACACTAGCTAGTAGCATCATGGTAGCCCTCACTCTCTTGTGACCAAGGTGACTACTTTCTGCTGCTGTCTTCAATGTCTTTCCAATGCTTAGCACAGTGCCTGGCACAAAACAGATGCTTTACAAATGCTAGCTCACTGGCTGACAAGAAGATCTGCAGAATCCAGCTTGGCCAATGGGAGCTAGGAGGCTTAATTGGTAGACGAACATATTTGGGCCTGATACCCTGAAAATCAATCTCCAGCTTTACAATGAAGGAATGCAGAAAATGCACCCCCCCCCCAGCCAAAAGGCTTGTGTAGACAAAACAATTAAAAATGAAATAGAAATGAAGTAAAATGAACTAAATCACTAAATTGTCATAGAAAAAAATTCATGTTTCTCTGACCACACTGAAATGACTCATTTCAAAGTCAAAAAACTAATCTTTCAGGAACATCAAAGACTCATCTTTCAGCTAAAACTAGTTCTCCGAGGATCCACATGGGATGAACTAAAACTCGTCATCCAGCGCTATTGGATGGGAGAAGATAAGTGAGTTGAGGAACCTGTCACCAGCCCCTAAATTCATCCTTTCCACATCCATGGCTTTTGATGACAACATGCAGTGGGAGGGCCTCTCCCCTCCCCATTTATCAGTATCTCCTTCAGGAACAATAGTAAACCTCCTTCCATCACAATGTAAAACAGATTTTCAAAACCACTGAGGCTATGAGATACTTAATGGTCTCAAGATGCAACTTGTAAGCAATTCAATTCTAGACTTTGAGCGGTCAGCCTGAGATGAAAGCGAATGAAAACACTGATTATAAAAGCAAAATGACTTAAAGGGGAAAAAGAGTCTGATTAAAAACCAATGTTTTGTATGTGCTGTTTTTGGTAACAATGTTAGAGCTTGGGCCTGGTTCGCCTTCAGTCTCTAATTTTACTAGCTTCTCCATGTTCACACATTTCTCTGTTTTTCCCCCCCACCTCCATTTTTAACGTGAGACCGATATTTGCAAATTAGAAAGTAGCAAGTCCAATCTAAGTGAATAAATTCTTTTCAGTTAAGGGGAATTTACCATAAACAGACCAAAACCCCTGCCTAATTTTCCTTGGGTTAAGATTCAGAAATGTGCCTGTTGTTTTCATGTAAATAAATGAACAGCTTTCTGAGCTTTCTCCTCTTTTTCAATGAAATGCATTCTCTTTTCCCAATGAGAAACTTGGGTATAAGACACCTGGGAACATAGCCAAAGTCAGAGGCCGCACAGCTGAAGGGGTACTACCATTTCACAGGGTCCTCTCACAAAGTATTTCGTTTGCCTTCCGAGCATTCTAAAAATAGCCGATTACACAGACTCCATCCATCTCATGCTCAAGAGCTCAGCATAAGGCTGGCCCGCGGCTTTCGGCAGTACCTAGGACACCCTTTATTAAAGAAGTCAGCATATTGCAAAAGTTTGTAAAATTCCGACCGTTGAGATTTTGACTTTGTACAAATGATCCAGCCATTTTGGGGGAGGGAAGAGGGAGAGAGGATTGGCGAAACTCCACAACTCTGCCCAGTTGTAGGGCTTCAAACACGAATACCAGACTGTCTCTAATGATTTTTAAATATGTTTTTAATCTGTGGTAGCCACAAGGCAGAACAATGGAGGGCTGCTATCTTGAAGGTAGGCTATAAAATGTCACATCAAGGAACAAACAAAGCTTTTCTTGTGACTGTTGATATTATGGAACATATGCTTGCTTAATTATGGTGCTGAGCATTTTTCAAAGCTTTCCTTCTTAAAACAGAGGGTCACAGGAATCATTAAGGAGACACTGCCCTACTTCAATCCACATTTCACATAATTTTTCTTATGTTGTCCTCTTTGCTTTGCAAAATCCAGCCAAACTGTTTTACCATATTTGGAGCATTATGTAGAAATTAAAGGGCCTTTTTTTGTTTTGGGTTTTTTTTTTTCTTTTAGGAAGAACAGACAAACACCGTAAGGAAGGACAAAGTGTGCAGTTACAAACTGCTCCACTCAGGTCCTCGTGAACAAAACATTGAGTATTGAAATTGAAAGCTAAAAAATCAAAAACAGAAACAGAAAGACACCTTGACAGTGACACTGAACAAGATTATCACCGTGCCACACACGCCACGGTGGAGTGCTGGGGCTTGTCTCAAAAAGGGCCATTTTGTGGTCAGCAGCAAGCAATAACTGAAAAAATATTTAAGGATGGGGAAAAAGCCACTGAATCTTAATGGTTCATGTGGTTCCCAAAGCCTGAGGAGGCAGCTTTGTGAAAACCCTCGATGTCTCAGCCCTCGTGAAGTCTGCCCTTGGTTCTCCACCATCAACCATCTGCAAGGATAAAAGCAGGGCTCCCCGGGAATTGGGTCAAACTGGGGTTACTTGTGGGTACAGGTGGATCCAGGCCATGCGGATTAGCCCCTCACCTCCATTTGGTGGGTACCAGGTACTGGTTACACCTGTACCCAGTCAACTTGAAATTACAAGGCAAATGAGTTATACTCATAAACACACGGGCCGCCTCTCCTCTACCCCAGCAAAAAAAAAAAAAAAAGGAAGAAAAAAAAATGCTAGGCCCCACGAGTTCCGGCTGTTAGACTTAAGGAAACGCTCCTCATTTAGTCCTTCTTTGTGTTTGAAAATGATTTTGTTTCTGTTTTTTACTTTCCAACACACACACACACACACACACACACACACACACACACACACACACACACACACAAGTGCATGCTTCCCACTCTATCCCCAGCCTTAAAGTGATAGCCTTGAAAACATATATACATTTTTTAAATAGACTACCCAAAGGAATGTTTAGTTTCTGGAGCTTAACAGAGATGGTCCCAAACTGTAGCTGAGGCCTCATTAGCAAACTACAATACTTTGCAGATAAGACTCTTCTTATGGGGCTAATTCACTTTTAAGAGGATATATGGATTTAAGAGAATCTGAGAGGATCCATTTATCTTCTTTAAAGGACTTACAAAGTTAACTAAGCTTCACTGCTGTTAACAGGAAGGAAAAATACAGTCAGTGGGTCAAAAAGCAGCCCCTTCCAGCTGCAGCAAACTCCACCTAACACCCTGAGAATGCACGTCACCTCAGGTTATTTAACTGTTTTTAAAAAGTCCCATTTTCAAACATGACACCTGACCTAGGCACCTGATGCCATCTTTATCTGCCAAGGGATTGCAGAGTAAATCTTTGGCGATTGTGGTGCTCACAGAAGATGTTACGTGAAACCTGGGCCCTCCAGATGAGAGAGTTAGAAATCAAAAAGCCATCATAATTCAAAAAAGAAAACAAAATGCTAAGAAAACTCAGAGTATTTCTGGAACATTGAAAAAGAGTCTGGTGATTAAGATAGCAACATTTCACGACATTCATGGAGTCTCAACAGGAAAAGCAAAAAAAGTTTGTGCTTCTCCTAAAACTATCCATGCATGAGGTGAGAACTTTGCTAGGCATTACGTTATTTACAGGATGGTTTAGCCACCAGATTAGCGTCTCTCCTTATAATGTTATGAACTTGAACATATAAAAAATGTACAAATACCCCAACATAGAAAGCTTCAATAATCTAGCCATAATTTCCTTAATCTGTAGACACTAAAAATCCATGAGCCTCTACCTGCTTCCCCAAGCACAGAAGCAGCGTCTGAATCACTTACATGTAATCTGTGCTCATTTTTCCCTCAGGCTCAACTTCTCCGTATTTATATGGGCTAGGTCCCAATGTATCTTTATACGCATATACACACACCCATGCACATATCCACAGGTATTCTACTACATAGACACACACATGCATATGTGTATATACGTCTGTTTATACACTTATCTTTTCCTAAATGAAATATAAATACACCTAGAATTTTTGTTCTATCTAATGATCAGGGGACAATCCAAGGACTGATGGAGGTATCCACAATACCCTAAATGAGGCAGAACTCTATTTTAAATCCTATTATTTGCCTCCCCACAGAAAAGACAACGAACACAAAATCAACAATAACACCATCCCCCGTGTCTAAACTGCTCAACAAGGAGCATCATCGTTCTAAGCCCGAGTAGTTTCTTTGTGTTTTCTTTTCTTCGTTCCATTAAACCTTACCCTTAAAATAATAGAATATTTACTCACTTTCAATGAATCAAAGCAGGCGATTACTCGTCCGTTTTCAACTTGGCAGCTTTTCGATGGATGTGCAAATTTACATTCCGTGTCTGCTCGTGAGCAAGTGCCCCTTTGGAACTCTCTACACACTTCCAGTGTGAGCCATTTGGTGTCCCGAATTGGCGTGACACTAACAGCCATGTTTAGATTTTACAGGTAGTTAATTTTTTTTTCAGTGAAACAAACGAACAAAACCAAACCAAGCCCTCCCCCCCCAAAAAAAGCCAAACTGTTAAGACTGTAAATGATGAAAATGTCACCTCTTGAAATACTCTGTCCCCAAATCCCTGCTCTTTAAAGGTACATGGAAAATCGTGTTGTCAATATCAAGGAAAAGAGATCCCACTAGAAATTCACAGCATGAAACTGTTCATCGAAAGAGGTTTGGGACTTAAGAGAAATGCTAGGATCACAAGTGTATCAGTGTTTAAAAGTGGGGCCGGGAACTAGCCTTGTGCTCTCAATAACCCATTCTCAGTGCCAATTTGGAGCCCAAAACACAAGCATGAAAACGTGGCAGACCCTTCGACACAGAATTTCCAAGCTGCTTTCAGCAAATTGTCTGAAAGGGAATCTCCTCACAGCTGAATTTGCAATTGGGTTCTGTGGTGCAATTGGTATTGATTAGTTTGGCATAGACAGATGCAGCAGCTTTAGAGCAACAATCGAGAAATTATTTTTGTTTGTTTGGTTGGTTTTCCTCCTTGATTTTTCTGGCAGAAGATATCTTACTTTTTTTCCAGCAAACTTTTCTCAATCTCTCTCTCTGTCTCTGTCTGTCTCTCAATCTCTCTGTCTCTCTCTCTCTCTTTCTGTCCCCTAAAGCAGCCTAAGGCAACGCCAGATACTCAGAGGCTTTCTCTTGATTCTAAGTAGAAATGGGGGTGTCTGGGCTAGAGGCGGAGGGTGGAGGGTGGAGGTGCTGTCTTCGCGGTCTAGCTCGCAGCAAGCAAGGCAAAAGCAGAGGCTGCTCTAGAAGCGGTCCAAGCAGCAGAGACGTCAGGAAAGGCACTTCTTAGTACCAACCTGTAGAAAAAAGAGATAGGTTACCATTTACCAAGTAGCACTTCACCGATGTCCCACAGTCTCACCACCTTGCCGTGTGACCCTAGACTAGCCACCATTCGGGTCTGTCTCTTCCTTCCACGCAGAATACTTACGGTGCAGCCCATTGTAGCCAGCCATCGTAGATTTATTAAAAAAGGGGTCGCTTCCCTTTGCGAAGCAATGCATGATAGGGGAAGAACCAATCACAGATAGGGTTGCAGCAATATTCTGGGCAGAAAGCCAATAGTGTGGGTTGTCTTATGAAAGGTCGCGCCTGTCAGACGTTCATTACTATGCTCTAAGCACAGAAAATGTCCATCAGATGGGACTTATTCCACGGCAAGAGGACGAGCATGTGGGTTTTGAATTTACCCAACATGCAGTTAGTGGATTAAACCATGTTAGTTTTCCAAACAGCTCCCACATAAGCACACCAGCGACTGGAAATCACGGCGGCAGAGGCAAGCTTTCAGCCCGCAGCTCACTTTCCAGATGCCTTCCCTCTCCTCAGCTCTGCTCGGCTCTGCTGTGCTCTGGGCAGGCTCCCGGGAGCCAGCCTGCTGTACTGACACGTGAATCCAAGAGGAAAGGGGGTGTTTACGAATGGTACATTCTCCCGACCTATCCAATTCACTTCCTTCCAAACCATAAGTAAGACGTCCAGCCGTCCTCCCCGCAGCTCTCGGCTATACTGTAAAACTATTCCATTCAGCCCGCAGACACTTTGTCAATATATCACAGGCACGCCAAATAGGAACAAAAGCACCCTTTATGCCAGCATTTTTTCGAGCAAAAGCTGAGGTCATGTGGGGAAAAGGAGAATTGCAGTGTTGTCAGGACGTCTGGCAAAACATAAGTCATCCTCAAGGGAGAAAGCGATTCCATCACAGAAGCGTCACATGTTAAGGAGGGGATCTGATCTGGACGACATGATGCACCTCTGAGGGAGGCTTCCGAACAAGGGTTTGGACGCTGCTGACCACTGCCAATTATTAACTCAGCAGCTTTGGGTCGCTCATAATCATTTCATTTCCCTGACAACAGGTAAATCATCAATTGCTCTCCTGAAACACACCAAATGTGAATACACATGCTTTTTAAAATTACTATGTTTGTTTTTGTTATTCAAATAATCACAGAATCTTAGAGCTAAAAAGGCTTCCAAGACCACCTTGGTCCCTCCGAGATCTAAAAATGATCTCTTCTAATCAAGCCCACAAAAGCGCTCATTAAGTGCCTTTCGTGTTCAGGCACCATGCTAAGCCCTTACCCTCTAGATCATCCACGACAAGGGATCACCCAACCTTCTCTTTCCTCCCACAATGGCCTATTACATTTTGGGATGGCACTCATTGTTAGACTGTTTTCTTCATGTTAGCCCTTTCCATTTGAGATAACTCCAGCGGCTAGGAACTTTTCCTTATCTTGAACCTTAAATGACATCTTGGCTACTTTGGAACTTTCCTAGTGAAATGAACAAAATTGTAAGTGTGAAAATTTAGTAGACCACCCTGACCTTCAACAAACGTAACACTCTAAATATCTTTAGAATTAGTTCCTTTGGCAACATTCACATCAGCAAACATTTATCAAACATATGCAATGCAGCACAAGACCCTGGGATAACATAAGAATGAAACAAGAAATACCCCTGGTATTTACAGACTTTCAAAATACTAATGGGGAATTAGGAACCACACCTAAGTATGATACAAGGTAGAATGTGAAAATGGTAAAAGGGTGGGAAAAGATATTATACTAAAAATGTTTTGCTATAAAGAATGTGTAAATGAAGAGAAATGTTTGTAATCTATCTGTGACTTTTGCCAGGCTAATCACAAGATGTTCCAATTTGGTGATCACAGTAACACTCAAAATCATTGACTAAATTACATTTTGTGTGTGGAGTAAACACCCGAACCTATGAAATGATAGATCTCTGAATCAGGGGATTATTGATGACAACAATGACTTTATTTCCTGGTTGGTTTGTTTTTGTTTGTTTCTTTGTTTTGGGGGGGACTTGTTTGTTTCCCCCCCTCAGCAGATCAATCCCACCCAGAATACGTTGCCTTCTCCTTGGTACTTCTCAAGTTTTTCTCATCCTTCAAAGCTCATCTTTAAGACTTAGACAAATGACCCACTTTTATCCAAAACCTACCATTTATGACCTGTGATACTTTTGCCACAAATTTTCAAAGGCCACTGAAAAGGATGGAGCTAAGCTTCACAAACACATGGAGTCTCTGGTCCCATCCTATCCTATACCCGCCCCCTCCCAATCCTCAGGAAACCTTAGGTGACTAGATTTCAGTTTGTTTGTTTAGTTTTCAGCAAAGGCATCCTTGATATACAGACAGCTGAATGAGTTCTCGCTCACCCCTGAAATATTCCAAAGCATTTAATCTAGAGGTGATTGGTCCCCCTCACTCCTTATCTTGTATTATACTTAGAAGTGTTCATTAAACTTATATGTATCCCTCCCCCAATAAAATGTAAACTCCTTGAGGGAAAGGGCTATGCTGTTTAGAAAAAAAAACACAACACTTTGTATATTCAACCAATCGATTAATCGACAACCATTTATCAAGAGCTTATGTGCCAGGCAGTGTGCTAAACAATTGCCTTAGGAACATGTTAAATTGTTTGAATGACTTGAATGATTTTATAAAACACAGTTGAATGCCAACCTAAACAAGCTCATTGTTGTATTGATTGGGAACTACCATGGGGGCCAAGTTGTACTTCTGAAACAAAAAGAATTGACAAAAAGAAAGATCTTGATAGAAGAGACCACGAGGCAAATGTCAAGCCTATTCCCAAACACTACCATGATTAAAAAAAAACTGCAATATGTTTATTTATGGGACTGAAATAACAGACCCAAAGAAGGTGCATTTATTATTTAGAGTTCATAAATATGTTGTGCTTAAGAAGGCAGACATTCTACAAACCTGGTTCTGCCTGGAAAAACTGCAATGTGACTTAAATGCTATGGGTAAATCAAGATAATTCACAAAAGCAAAATCCCTTAGCCAATGATATGACTATAGAAGAAAGTCTACCAAATTTTATATATGTGTGTGTGTATGTATGTATATATGTAGATAGATAGATAGATAGATAGATAGATAGATAGATAGATAGATAGATAGATAGATAGATATGGAGAGAGAGAGAGAGAGAGAGAGAGAGAGAGAGAGAGAGAGAGAGAGAGTAAATTCTGCTTTTTTAAAAGCCAAAGAAGCAAGTTTCAAAACTTTTAAGTCCTACAGAATGACTTGGGGAATTGGGAAGTTAAGTGATTCCTCCCAGGTCATGTAGCTAGGACATGACAGAAGGAAGACTAGAACTTTCCTGACAAGAACGTCAGGCCTTTACGGACTCTGCCCTGTGGCTTCTATAATTGGGTTCTAAACAAATCAAAGTCAGCTGCACATAATCCCGCTTGGCTACTAAGGGGCCAATGGTAGTACTTCTGCCATAACCTTCAAAGAAGACTGAAAGGGATGGAACACAACATCACAACCACACTGGCTGAGTTTTTGCTGGCAAGAAAGCCCCCTTTGGAAGTGGACAGCTCTCTCTCTCTCGCTCTCTCTCTCTCTCTCTCTCTCTCTCTCTCTCTCTCTCTCTCTCTCTCTCCCCTCTCTCTCTCTGTCTCTCTATCTCTTATCTCTCTCTCTCTCTCTCTCTCTCTCTCTCTCCTCTCTCTCTGTCTCTCTATCTCTTATCTCTCTCTCTCTCTTCTCTCTCTCTCTCTCTCTCTCTCTCTCTCTCTCTCTCTCTCTCTCTCTGTCTGACTATTTTTTTAATATACCAACACAATCTAAATACATTGATGAGTTCATTATTCAGGTTATAGAAATATTCACAAGAAATGCTTGGACTAAATAAATTTATTGTTTTTAAAAGAGTGATTGAATTAATTTCATCCTGTTTCAGAAATATTCACTGTTTTTTTTAAAGTAATAGCTGAGACAAATACTTGTGCCCATCAAAACGTACCTTGATAAACTATTTCTGTTCTAGAACTGAAGTCCAGCCCCAATGTTTTAGTTTGACGTGGGCTCGTCCCTGGATTCCCAAAGACAATACTGGTAGGAAACAAGCTTCAGCAAGTCCTCCCAAGCTGAAAAGGCTTTATGTATGGGCCTGACAACAGTCTATGTGTCTGGCATCTAAGGAGATGCCTAGCTAAATTTAGGAAGGTTCGACCCTGGAAATATGAATACTGCATGATGCCCCCCTTTATTTCAGAGGGATGAAGGAATCACAGAATATCATGAAGAATAAGCCATAAAAAGATGGGAGAAACTGCATAGGTTGGGGGGGTACCCATTCACCCCCAAAGAAATAACAGCTTTTTTAAAGTAATAAAAAGAACAAATACCATAGATGGGGGAAAACTGCCAATTTTATATTGAACAACACCAGCTCTATGAATAGTTTTAAAATTCCATCCCTGCCCCCAGAAGAGGCTCTTTTTAACCTGTGGCCCACTGCAGATATCAGCAGTTGAATTCCACACACTTAAAGTGTATAAAGTATAAAGCACCACAATTAGTCCAATGCCATAATTTATAAGAAACCATCACCCATGGATTTGAAAGAAAACTCCGGCACAGAGATTAATAAGCACTTTATTCCTGAGCAGCAACAGGAGCTAAGGAATAACTATGGATGCCACTGACCAGTCTAAAGCATTAAAGAGGGAAAGGAAGGAAAAGAAGAAGCAGACAGAGGGATGGGAAAGATGGAAGAATGGGAAGGGAAAGACAGGAGAGTAAGAAGGCCAGTAGAATATGCTAGAGCAAAGATAAGGGTGTGTATGGTGAGAGATAGTCAACTACTGTCTGAGATGCCATTGGGTAAAGGCAGGGCTAGAGGATGCCCTCCTGCTCCAACTAGATAATCCAATGAAACACTGAGATAAGCTTGCAACGTAGTAAACACCACCCCACTTTGAGCTGCGTGAT